CCGCACTGCTCTAACCCCCCGCCACAGGAACGAAGGGAGATTCTCCATCTGCTGGCAGCAGTGTAGTGCTCATGCCACACAGATGAGCACTTCTGGTTCCATCCAGTAGAGGGCAGTGGCTCTCCTACGGAATATCCCTCAGCTTGCCTCCAGCCTGACGAGGGGCAGGGAGCTAATGGGAGGAAAGGGGAAAGAAATAACGTTGTCAATGAGAGTGGGCACAGTCCTAAGTTAGCAGAGACAACGTTCCTTCGGCCCTGGTGTTGCAATCTGGCTCTTCTGAGATGATAATGCAGGGCTGGAGGAGGCCTGCATTGGGGACAGTGTCTGCAGGGGAGAACGGGAAGGCCGGGATGGATTTCTGTCATCCTGCCCCCCCTTTGCACGGGGCCGTGGATGATAAGGCCACTCTGAGCTGTGTCCCATCAGCTGGCCAGCGAATTCCATCCAGGGACTGCAGCCCCCAGCCCATCCCTGGAGCTAGAGTGGCGCTGTGAGTGGCTGGGAACCGGGAATCCGCCTGGTCTCTAAGCAGCAGCCCACCATGAGATGGGCGCACGGTGTCTTCTATAGGATGGACCCCTTCAACCCCCCTTTTGCTCGCCGCCAGCCGGGCTGCAATTGCCCCTCTCTGCACTGGTCTCGCCTGCTCTTGGACATGTTGCCAAAGAGCCGCTGGGTGACACGGGGGCCCACACGCCTCCCCCAGGAGTGACTTGGGCCCAGCTTGGGAAAGAGAGCTGCAATTGCCCCTCTCTGCACTGGTCTCGCCTGCTCTTGGACATGTTGCCAAAGAGCCGCTGGGTGACACGGGGGCCCACACGCCTCCCCCAGGAGTGACTTGGGCCCAGCTTGGGAAAGAGATTGAGCGGCCTAGCGCCCCCCAGGGTCAGTGGGAGTTGGGGGCCTGCCGTACCTCTGGGCGTCGGGTACTGCGAGGCGTGGGCCCTAGTAGCCTGGGTCCCTTTTGCCCCTGGGAAGGCAGCTGCCCTACTCTGGTGGGCCGGGCTCGGCCCCAC